GGGCAGGAGGAGAGGCTCCGCGGCCCCTTCCCACAGTGAGTCTAGCACTAGTAGTTATGTTTAGGCAGAACTTTGTAGTCTTCTTTCCCTTTTATGGCAGATTTTGATAAAAACACAAAACAGGGTTTAATTTCCTTTTCTGTCAGCTTTGAATTTGGAAAAATGGGAGCACCTAAGCTCTTCTGTACCTATTTAAAGTAAGGGAAAAGAAGTCCACCAAGGGGATTGCAGCTTACAGAACCTGAGAATTAAAGCCTCTTAAAGTGAAACTTCAAGGTGTGATCCTGTCCCCTGGCCTCCTTGCCTCCTTGGGGTTTGCTCCAGGGGCTGCTGGATAGGTTTACCATCCTGGCTCCCCCAGGCTTGGAGTTAGCACTGACGTTACAATTTCACAATCCCAGCCACAGACACCTGCCCTGCCTCTTACCCTAGAGCCAGTCTGTTCTTGTTAACAGTGAGAATTCCGTGTTCCCACTTCAGTGACACCTGAGTTTTGTTGTTTTTCAAGTTGTCTTTAAGGACGAAGGGCCCCATTAAAGGGTAAACTTGTAATAAATTGGAATTTCAAATAAACATTATGTACTTGTGTTTATAAAGAAGAAACAATCCTGGTGAATTTTTCTTTGTGCTCTTGGAGGGTGGTGCAGTCCCAAGCGAGTGCTGTTTTCCCATGGACTCTTGGAGCCTGTTCTTCTGGAGAGGACCTCCTCTGACTTAGTCTTTTTAACCACAGGTCAGATCCATCTACTGCATTTCTTTGCTTCCAGGAGAGAGTTCTGGTGCCCTGGGTAATCGAAGCCGTGACCTTCAAGCCTCTCCTGGCCTTGTCTTTGTCTCAACATCCACCCCCCCCCATTCCATTTGAAACTTCTAAGAACTAGGAGAAAGTATTTTTTAAGGCTTCGCTATGGGAACTTGTGTAGTCCTTCAGGACTTAATTTTGGGGGAAACTCGACATTTTAAAACACTTTTCAAGGAAAATAAAAAACATACACAAAAAGAGTGGAAATAGAACAAATTCCCACCTACACAGCTTCAACAGTTCTGCTACATAGCCAATCTTGTTTTGTTCGTGCCTTCATTTATATTTTATGCTGGGAGCTTTTATAAAGTCAGAGTGGCTAATTTGAGTAGATCACTGCTGGCTGGCAACCTGCCTGTGGAGTTCCAGGATTTTGTAGGGCCACTGCATGATCCCATTCACTGAGAAGCGAAACTGCCAGTTCCTGACCAGCTGCGCCAGGGATGGCATAAGGTAAAATAGGAAGAAATCTGAGGAGAAACCTAAGTCCTGGGTGCGGGTTCTGCCACTGACTCCCTTTGTGGCCTTGGTGAGCGTGGGCTTTGAGCCAGGCCTGCACCAAGCACTCGGGGATTTTCAGTCCCTCAGGGGAGGAAGTGGTTTGCCCCAAGGTCGGATTGAATTTGACCAGCCCTCAAGCTCTGGAGGAGGGAGCTGTGTAACCTCCAGACATTTTCCACACAGGCACGGTTGGACTTGGGACTCCCAGCCCACCCACACCTGTGAAGTCCTATTCCTGGGGTGGGTTTATTAGGCTACACCAGGCCAGCGCCTGTGGGGCCTTGTCACCTCATCTAGGCTCTGTATCCTGGTCCTATTCAGCCATCCCAGCCCATTCCTCCCTATCACGAGAAACCTAACTTGGGCTGACTACTGCAAATGGAGACGAGAAAACTTTTTTCCTGAGGAGGGGTCTGGATTACTAATGCTGGCAATCAACAGAGACCAACCCCTCTTCCTGCCTACTCTTCTTTCTCCTCAAACCCTGTCCCTGGGGAGGGAGCACAGTCAAGGGTGGCAGTCAGCTGGTGACTGATTCCAAAGCGGCTACTCAGGGGCGGTGCTGCTTCCACTAGGGAACCAGGTCTCCCACTTGCCCGAGAGCCAGGGTCCCCTCCGCAGGGTGCCGAGCGAGACACTTAGACCAGGTAAGGGGAGAAGGCTGCTTGCTCTGTTACCCCTGCCCAGGACCCCCAGGCCTTGTCACACGGGGACTGTCCTGGAGCTTCTTCCTTCAGGGTGGGACTGAGCAGAGAGTGAGGGCAGCTACTGACCAGCCCGGGCGGGGGCAGCTTCTCAATCTGACCTCAGTCAAGATCACCCCTGCTGACTCCAGTGAACTTTGAATTGTTTCCCTGGAACTGATACTGACTGAGGTCAGAGCTCAGAAGTTCCTTTAAGAACAAGCACAGGCTCGGCCCTCAGGCTCAGCTGGCGTGGACACATGCACAGACGTGCTGCTCTAAGGGGCCCTGTGCTGGGCTACTAGGCCCCTGAGGGAAGGGGCAGGGGCCGGGGGCACACAGCGCACAGGCCGGCAGGTGTTGGCTTCTGAGGTGTTTCCATTGAGTTCTGGAATCTCCTTTTTCGGGGTGGGGGGAGGTCCCACTGTGGGACCGGTTTCTCTGGACAAAACCGCCCTAGATTTTTTTCTTTTTTTTTCTGCAGTACGCGGGCCTCTCACTGTTGTGGCCTCTCCCGTTGCGGAGCACAGGCTCCGGACGCACAGGCTCAGCGGCCATGGCTCACGGGCCCAGCCGCTCCGCGGCACGCGGGATCCTCCTGGACCGGGGCACGAACCCGTGTCCCCTGCATCAGCAGGTGGACTCTCAACCACTGCGCCACCAGGGAAGCCCCACCCTAGGTTTTATAACACACACCCTGTCCATCTCACCCCATGCCCCAATGGACTCCATGGTGTGAAATCACAAGCTCTGGAGGCCACAGTCTCCCTGGCTGTGTGAACTTGAGCCAGTCGAGCCCTGCAGGCACTTCCCTTGTCTGCACAAGGGGGAGAGGAGGATCAGATGGAGGACTTTCTGTAAAAGGCCTTTAATCATGTTTCCTTCTTCCTTTTCCTCTAGGGTCTGGGACTCTTCCATAATGTCCAGCGCTGAGAAGCCTTAGCTGGCAAGGCCCGCCCCCCCCCCCCTC